TGCTCTTATTGGTAATTTGCTTACCTGTTTTCAGCCTCAGAGTCCCTATTTATTTTTTTTAAAATGATGGGGCTTTTAGAAGTCAGCAAACTGAAATGGTCAGCAGTGGGCCAAATCAAGCCAAATGCCCATTCATTTATGCATTGGCTATAGCTACCTTCCTGCAATAATGGCAGAGTTGACCAGGTGTAGTTGCAAAAGAAACTGTATGGTCCATAGAACTGAAAATATTTACTCTCTGGTCCTTTGCAGATAAAGTGCCAGAACCTGGAGTGATTTTCAAACCGTGTTTCGGAGGCCAAGTGTATTGTTGAGTGTTTCAGAGGCCACTAGTGTGTGAGTTGTATCATATGGTTTTTATATATGTTTTTTATATATTAGTGTTTTACATAAAACTTCATTTCAAAAAAAGATTGCTGCCCTGGCCGGTGTTTCTCCGTGGTTAGTGTGTTGGCCTGTGCACCGAAGGGTCACCACGGGTTAAATTCCCAGTCAAGGGCACATACCTGGGTTGCAGGTTTGATTGCCACCCTGATTGGGGCATGTGCAAGATGCAACCGATTGATGTGTCTCTCTCACATCGATGTTTCTCTCTTTCTCTCTCTCTCCCTCCCTCCCTCCCTCCCTCCTTCCCTCCCTCTCTCCTTCCACTCTCTCTAAAAAGCAATTAGAAAAAAAATCCCCAGGTGAGGATTAACAAACAAACAAACAAAGATTCCTGAGGATCCCATGGTATTTCTCCCCTCAGTACCATTCAATATATCATTTTATCTCTTAGGAACACCCTGTGCACTAGGTCTTATGAGGTTAAAACAACAATACTGGGCTAGACAGATGCTCTCAGATGTTCTCTAATAATCTTTTAATTCACAAATATTTTATGAATCGAAGCTTCCCCTTTTCACCTTCAACACTGACAAATAAGTAAGAGGGTTAGGCAAAATAAGATCCTAGAATTCCTTACAGGAACATTCTTGGAGATAAAAGCAAAAGTCCTGCCTTAGTTTGTGAGCATGTACATGCACGCCAGAGACAGAACATAAATGTGTGTAGTCTCCATAGGATCTTAGATG